CAATGGTGCCAGGACACACTAGGAATTGCAGTACCAGTAACAGTCAGATGTCGTTTGAACTCCTCCGGAGGTCCACGCATGATGATCGAGTTAGTTTTCTGCCATCATTGCCTAAAGGGCAGTACAAACAAGTTTTGGAGTAAAAGACACAATGGAAGCATCCTGCATCAACAGATTCATTAAGTTCGTCCGACCAGCAATTGCAGACTTAGGAACGTGGAACCTGCTGATTCTCCAGTTATTCCATCATATAAATTCGAAGCTGGGAACAATTTGCATTAGACCAAATTGTCTGGCCACCATGTTGGCCGGGTAGAACTCGACAAGGGTCTCCATAGCCCTTCTTTTGCCACTGGCTTCTTGTGGCCAGAATCGGTAATGCAGGTCTCGAGTGGCCAGAAAATACCCCCGGAACGCCTTCATACCTGTTGTAGCAGATTCATCCCAATGACCGAATCGGGATTCTTCTTTGTACTCAATGCCGAAACAAGGATGGTAACAATCGACATCCAGTAGCCGATGGATAGCAGTGATATTAGGCTCAACTTCCAGAAAGATAGCAACAACATCGTCAACAGACATCTTGCTTTCTTCTAAAGAGGTGATGTTCCTGCATAATGACTGACTGGGTTTTGCTATATCTGAATACTCAAATCTAATGGCAGGGAAATACAAGCCACAAGATTAACAACCACAGTGGGCCATCTAAAGAACGATCAGGATGATGCCTTAACTTATACATACCTCTATAAAACTACCCATCAGAGCCGATGCTAAGTACTTTCTGACCAGTTACAAGTACACAAGCTAAAGGATAAAAGCTCATAGTCATTTGTAAGGACCTAGAGCAAAATACATACTTGTTCAACCAATACGCCAGGAAGGTCTTGGGCTGGGTGGCTGAATTGGTGTCCCGAACCGAGTCCATTATGTGCCCAAACTGGTTCTCTCGATTGACTGCCAGATCCGCCACTTTTAGATGCTCCAAATTGATATTATCCGCAACAGGAATGGCCATCGGTAGAACAATAATCAAGCAAACATCCAGAAGAGTCAGTGTCAACATACCCCAGGGTAAGCAGAGCACATTGGAAGTAGAAGAGCAGAAAGGGGAAACAACGCTAAAGACACTGGGTTGAAAGGCACCCCAACTTTGCAGAACTAGATCAATTCATAGATCTGGCGCCCGACCAGATCTGGCCAAACTCCGGTTCTAGATATTCGCACCAGTTGACCCAGTCAGGATGGATTTTATTTTTTGGGACCAAGGCCAGCTGCGATGTTCTTGGACGTTTTGGCAACTGCCAGGATTTGTAAATTGATGAGATGGGCTTGGAGGCTGACACACAGGCACATATCGGAAAAGTACTATCGGATCTTTATTGAAGCCGGGCCCTAATCGATAGGACCGGGTTTCCGGGTTCACCGGAGAAAATATATCTGCAAAATTGGGCACCAAAAACGGAGCTTCAGCGTCGCGGATGTGGTGTTGCTTAGCCAATGCAGTAGAGTAATCTCTGGCGGTGGCTATTGATGGAAATGAGGTTGCCGGATGTGAAGGGGAAAGGAGTAAGGGTTTGCAGAAGGAGAGAAAATTGCTTGAGAATTGGTAAAGTAAGGAATTGTGTGATTTAACGATGCCCAACGTAGAGTATAAATACTCCCTCAATTGAAGAATAAATAGATTAACATTCTCCTGATTTGTTTAGGATTTGGATAGCATTCAAATCCCACTTCTGTTGGGATTGAGGTATGAACCATTAACGAGAAGATACGTTTCAACAAGGGAAAATTTGTGTATTTGAAATTTGCCCAGGAAGATTAGAAAAATTATTCGGTACATTCCACAACTTTTCGGGGGAGGACATTATGTTAGGCCAGTTTTTCGTGGATTGAATAAGGAGCGAATTGGCCGCGAAATAGGCTTTAGGATAATAGAGTCCGATTTCGGGAAGGAAGCCTAATTGATATTGAATAGGGATTGTGAACTGACTTGCATGCAAAGGTTATTTAAAGGGATCAGCGGTAGGAGGAAGGCAATCAAACTCGGGATCAAATTGCTTATTCAAATTTCTGTCTATTTTCTTTCCAATTTATTCTCTGAAATTAGGGTTCGTCGAGAACTCTCTGAAGTATGCTGATTATCGACGGCCGCTCTTGTTATTCAAAGATCTTAATAAAATCCGGCCTATGGTCGATTTTTAGTTCTGAGTTTCGTATTTTACTTGATTTTTTTTACGGATAGAAAGATCAACGCACAATCGTTTGAGATATTTTACATAGTTCTTTAGGTGAAAATCGTGGAAACAAAATCATTCATTAGTGAATTTGTGTCGAAATCAACATGACCTGTAACTCTATTATCACTCCTGATATTATTATAATTTCATTTCTATTGTAACTTGATCTAGCTATGTTGATGTGTTTACATTTGTTGCCCGTGATTTAATTTTGCTAAAAATATATCATTGTCAATGTCAACTGGGGCAACGAGATTCATCCAGTGGATTCCTCCACCATTATAATGGATGAAAAGTCAATTTTGACGAGAATGGCATGGCAAGTGCCAGAGAAATTCGTAGGGATTGTTATGGGAGATGGTTGGCTGGATTTAGGATGAACATTGATTTTTGTACAATTACCATAGCAGAATTACGGGGTCTTTTACAAGCATTAACATTGGCTTGCAAAATTGGTGGTCATAAGGTGATTGCTAAGTAAATAGTGTGAGCATTATCTCTTCTGTGCACTGGAAAGGGAATTGTAGAATGGTAATGTCATTCTTGGTTAAGAAAAGTCAATATATTAAAGGAATCTTCAATTCCCTTTACAATGTTTAGTAATGTTAAAAAATCGTAGTTATTTTCCCACTACGGGATTCTTTTTTGCTCAATATACAATGGAATGGGAAAAGTAATAATTTTTTCAATGAATTTAAAATTTTGATGAGACCTACCATTAAACAGAAAATCAAAACGTTCAATATTTATTTCATGAATCACGATCTACGAACAAATGTAAATGATAGCTGATAATTTATGCCATAAAAAATCCCAAAATAATAGATTAACAGAGGACCGAAAATTAATCAGGATGGGGAATATATATGCCATAAGATATATTGATGATGATAGGCGGAAACATTCTCAATAACTATCTCAATATCATAATTTACATACCTTTGTCAAAGAACTTTCCGTTGGTCTACGAAGAAAAAAAGATTATTTTAAAAAGAGAAGAAGTTAAAAAATTGATTGGGGAATGCATACATAAAAAGAGATTAACTCGATCATATTGAAAAAATATGGAAGCCAAAGGGAAAAAATGGAAGGAAAATAGAGGCGGGAGTTTTTTGGTTTGTGAAAGTAGTCTTTTATAATTTTTATTAAATTAGTGATAAATATTATTATTAAATATTAAATGTATAAGATTTCTTCTATCCCATTATCATATTACATTTGATATCTGATTTCCTGTCATCTATTTTTTTTTTCCTGAACATTGTAATGATAGAAAATGTAATGAGATTTCGATACATTATTCCCTTTCCAGTGCAAAGAACACACCCTATGGTTAAAGGTAAAAAGGATATTGTGGGAGTGAATGCAGGAATTGTATATGGGATTTGACAGTTGTATTAGACTGTGGAGATAACACATATATTTCAAGAGGCAAATTTTGTAATAAATTATTTGGTAGCGTTGGCATCACAAGGCTCGAGAGGATTACAATGGTCCAATGTTCCATCAATGGGAATCAAGCTGTACTTGTATCATGATTTAATTAGAGTGGCACATTCTAGACATGTATTGGTATGATTAGCCTCTCTCATTGTAATTAAAAAAATGTTAATTGGTGTAACGCCAATCAAAATGATCTCCCTAATCTGGACGTTAGTTGTTTGATGCGACCTTTTATATTTATTCCTTCTTTTGTCCCAAAAAATAATATACGTTAAGTTTTGAAATTTGCATTATAAATCTTAAAGCAGTAAAAATTTTTAAATTTAGCATAGTTTTTTTTTTTGAAATAAAGGTAGTATATATATATACACTAACTCTATCGTCTACTTAGAGAGAGTTTGATAAATATATATACTTCCTCTCTTCTAAGATAATAATCATGTTTTTAGTATACAATTGTAATTTAATGAAGTGAACTATGGAGAAAATTCAGCTTATTAATCAACAAAAAAGAATCTAGTAGAACGCCGAATATGCAAATATTATACTTAGCTTAGTCCTATATATCCAACAAACTAAATTTCTTTATTTTCTTATGGGACAGAAATGAGGATTAATAATTATTATTGCCGAAATTGCCTAACAATTTTCTGCATATGGGATTATGAAATTTTGACTTATTATTGAAAATGTACCCTCATATAGTTCCATGATGCTATTACAATCATTTTCGCATTGATTACGAAAGGAACTGTATTGGTTTTAAAGAATGATATTTTTCTTTCTACCAAAAACAATAAATAAAATGAAATGATATGCTTCGACGAAAAGACACAAAAACTGAAGCTCTTTTTTCTATTTTTATTTTTTAGCATTTAACTTTTCCTCAATTGGCTAGTTTTTTGTTTTATTCCTTAATGTAAGGAAAGTTGCGTTTTACTATCTGACAAAATTCACTTGCCAGCTTGAAATTTCTTCTTATGAAGGATGAATGTTCAATTTCATGGAGCAAGCAAAAGATAATGTTACGAATTAATAAAATGGCCTCCACCTAACTAATTGATGCAATAATTATTATTTTTTTACTTAAAAATAATTAACCTAGTTCAATTGCATTTTATATCAGTACGAAAAAAAAGGATTAAAATGCCAAGAAAATGGTGAAAAGAAGCTTTCAATAGCCAAAAGAAGATACGAAAGAAAAAAATCCAAAGGAAAGAAATGAAACGTCTCAATTTCATGTGATAACCATGTTTATGTATTTTCATGTGTAACTCCGACAGACAGAAGTATAAAATTCCAACTAAATGTATTGTTATATTTATTTCATTCGAAACATTTGACACATATCTATCAAAGTATCAATCAAGTCAGAAGAGTTTAGGACGACCCCAATAAATAGAGCTTTCATAGGGTAATTTCATGAAGAATTATTGTTTCACAAGCAAATGGATCTCATCATCTCAGTCTTTTTAGTCTATTACCTTCCATTATTTGTTCTTTGTTTCTTCTCAATCAAGTTTTTCATTTCCATCACGAGGAAACCCTCCGCATCATCAAAACTCCGGCGGCCTCCAAGCCCGCCGGCGCTTCCTGTCCTCGGCCATCTCCATCTCCTCCGTTCAGGACTATCCAAATCGCTCCACTCCTTAGCCACAAACTATGGCCCCCTTATCAGAATCCAAATGGTTTCAGAAACTTCAGTCGTGGTTTCTAATTCCGCCGTGGCAAAGGAAATGTTAAAAGACAACGAGATGAATTTCGTCTCGAGGCCAGACGTTAGCGGATCGTCGGACTATAACATCTACAAGGGCTCCTCTTTTGTGTTTGCGGAATACGGGGATTATTGGCGTTTCTTGAAGAAGCTTTGCATGACGGAGCTACTTTCCGTTTCGCAAATTGCCCGTTTCGCCGATATTCGGAGGGAAGAGAAGATGAAGCTGCTGGAAAATCTTTTCCGGTGTTCGGAAGAAGGGAAAATTTGTGATCTCGGGAAGGAACTTGTGGGGTTGACTAATAATAATATATGCAGGATGGCTATGAGTACCAGATGTTCTGGAAGTGATAATGAAAGTGACAAGGTATACAAGTATTTCTGTTTGTATTACTTCCTTCTCACTTAATTATAAGATGCAAATTAATAATAAATTTGTGCTATATAATTAGGACTAAATAGAATACGTTCTTATATTTTTATATATTTTTAAGATAAATAATCACTCATCGCCGTGTTGAGAACCTGAGATCTTTTGAGAGTGATTAGTACCTATCGAATATGAAAAGAAAAAAGAAGTTTAATTTTTAAGAGCAAGATAGACATACTTTCATATGTGCATGTATGTTGAAATCTAAAATTGAAAGATTACGAGACTTTGTATAATTGAGTCTCAGACATGTATTATCTTATGTAAAAGATTCACGCAGTGTAAAAGATTTATATATATCAAGCTTGACTTATATTTTTCCCCTTTTTGTTTGGTTAGGTGTGGAATTTTGTTAAAGGGGTTGAAGCGTTGACACTGAAGTTTAGTTTGGGCGAATTATTGGGTCCTTATTTGAGCAAACTTGATTTATTTGGGTATGGGAGAAAGATGAAGGAGTTGCTATTGGAGTTCGATGAATTTGTGGAGAAGGTGATTGTTCAACATGAGCTGGATTTGAAGTCTGGTAATAAGAAGGGCAAGAAGAAAGATGACATGGATATTCTGCTGGAAATTTGTAGGGATGAAAATGCTGAAATCAAATTCACCAGAAGGCAAATCAAGTCTTTTCTATTGGTAAGTTACCTCTTATTAACACCTTAACTATTCTCCTCTTACGTACACATAGAAATTAATTACCCCCTATCCTAAAATGATTTTTATGTTTTTAATTTGTTGTCAACACTTTGCAGTAGCTAACTTCCTTGGTTAATTACTAAATGATAATGATTAATTAATTCATTTGGTTAAGAATTTTATAGATTGACTCCGGAGTTGGTAAAATAAACATTTATCGAATCGCATGCTTTCTTGACATGGTGTCATAATTCAAGTTTTTATTTAAATAAACTGTAAGTTTGTTTTGAAAAAAAAAAAAAAACAAGTTTTAAACTTTAGCTGAACTAATTTTCCTACCCTGTATATTGCCACTTAATTATTACATTTTCCAAGCCTACTTCAAGACTTTTTTTTTTTTTTGGGCTGATGTTTATTCTACAAAATAATTCAAATTTTCTTTTCTTTTTTTTAGATAGATTGTTATTTATTGTATTTTTTTTTATGTTTTGACTAATAAAATCAATCAAATACGTACATATTAACACTTGTGACAGACGTGTCGGGCTTGTCAAGTGTACAGTAATTCTTTTAGTTGACTAAAGAAACAAGAGATTATGTTGATAATAACTCAATGATGAATAATAACCGATAATAATGTATCAATGACGATAGCGTCAGAAATTAAGTATGCAAATTTTAGTTCTTAAGAAAACTTTTCCATCAGTATCCCAGTTAATTAAATAACGACGAGAATTGCTAGAGTACAAAATGGGGAAAAGGTCAACTCTTTTTTCCTTTTGTTTTTTTTGTTGGAAAATGAGGAATATAAAAAAGAAGGGAAAAAAATCTCACTGACCGCATGCAGATATAATAACTGATTATTTATATAGTTAGGTAGTACTGAACTTTTCGCTACCTAATCTAATAAACATTGTGTTGTCTGCTCAATAGTTAATCCAGAAAAATGATCAACCAATGCAGTGAAATGAAAATAGAGACACATGAACTAAAAGTACCCTTAATTGAGGTTCTATCGGTTCTTATATAACAATTTTTTTTTTTGTAATATATATTTGCTTGTCTCATTTCATGAAATTGTTTCACCTCTCTATCTTTAAATTTTTTTTAATAATAAAAAAAAAGGGCTACAAGGAACCGTGGTGATTTCCGATCAGCAATATGCATTTGAGACTAACATATATTGACTGGTTAAATTCAACTTTGCATCGTATTTATATGAAAATGTGCTACTATGTTCACACCTACAAATGAAGTAATCTAATTAAATTAAAATCTCTGACATAATCTGATTATGATATTAAGAAACATTATAGATCACCTTGATATATGATTAAATTTTAGCAAATTGATTAGGAAAGGGGCCGGATACTCACAAACCTGAGTGTAGCGTTTAGTCAAGTGCAACTTTAGCTTGCCACCTTAAGTCAATGGCATTCTACCGTGATTGAGGCGTAGCAAAGAGATGACCAAGGTTACAACTTACCTGTATTTCTTTGTCCCTTTTTCTTTTTTTTTGTGGGGGTGGGGGTTGATTTTGATAGTAATGTGCGGGTATACTTAATTCAGAAAGGATTGGAGTACCCACCGAAATCATCAGTGCTATCTATGTTAAACCTATTAAATCGTTTATATTTATGAGAAATAAATACCGTTACTTATTATCTTGCTTGTCTGAATTACAACTTTTCTGACAAGACAATTCCAGAAATATGAGTGCATTGCAATCCATATCAAAGAGACTAGACGAGTGCAACACCCAATAACTTCCCGTCGGATAATTTCTCCATAAATCTATAATGTAATCCTTCACACTTGGCTTTAAAAGAAAATGTATATCATCAATGAAATAATTTCCAATTTAATGAACATATGTATATCACATTTTTCTTTTGTCCCCAAATTATTATTTGTCTTGAATTTTCATTTCTAGTATAAATTACACTAAAAGTAAAAATTCGTACAATAGTCTTATGACAAAGTGACTAGTTAATTAACATGTACACTATAAAAGAATTTGACATGGAAAATTCATTTGGATTGTTTTGGGGTGCATAACTTATTACTACTAAAAACAAAAATTCAAACATTCAAACTATTTGAAAACGTTGGTAGGAAAAAGAATTTGATTGCTTCATCGATCTAAAATTTACAACAGGAACTATTCATGGCGGGCACCGACACGACCAGTGTAGTATTACAATGGGCAATGGCAGAATTAATAAACCACCAGACCATATTCAACAAGCTCAAGGAGGAAATCAATGGAGTTGTTGGAAGCAAAAGGCTAGTTGAGGAATCAGACATCCCGAATCTTCCATACTTGCAAGCAGTCGTTAAAGAAACCCTAAGGTTACATCCTTCAGCACCCTTAATTTTTCGAAGATGTGACAAAGACTGCAAGATCAATGGCTACGATCTACTCGCAAACGAGCGTATAATAATTAATCTGAATGCCATTATGAGGGATCCCAAATGTTGGGAAAATCCTCTCAAGTTCATGCCAGAAAGGTTTACAGAAAAACATAAACAGTTCGATCAGTATCACATGGATTTGAAAGGCCAGAATTTCAGTCTTTTCCCTTTTGGAAGCGGAAGAAGAGGTTGTCCTGGTGCTTCTTTTGCATTATCAGTAATTCATGTCATGGTTGCGACACTTGTTCAGTGTTTTGACTTTAAGGTTGAGGGCGAGGAAAAGCTAAACATGGAAGAAGGGACTGGTTTTTCTGGTGCCATGGTTCATCCACTTCTTTGCTTTGTTACCAATGTTGCACAATTCAATCCCTTAAAATCATTTTCGCCGAGGAGTTAGCAGTGACACTAGTGATTATTTTCATGAAGTATACTTCCTCTGTCTCACAACAATATTGTCCTAGACTGTTACGTTATTTCCTAATAGAAGTTGTAGAGAAAGGCTTATTTTTAACTTATTCTGTATTCCTCCTGGTAAAACTTATTCTAAATACTTATAATGATATAAGATACTTCCTACGTTCCGAAATCATTGGCCAGTTTATATTTTCATTTTTAGTTCAAATTGTACTAAAAGTGAAATGTCAAACTGGACAATAAATTTGGGACGGAGTGAATTCAATTTTACTTTCAATTAGATTAAGTTTGAAACTTTACCTTAGAAAATGTGATTTACACTGAACTCCTGAGAAGAAGATGGACTGTTGAGCTAAAACATTCGGTTGATCTAAACATTACATATTACTAATTATCGGGAGTCATGGATTTGTACCTTTTTTGTGGTTTTGATTTGATTTAGTATTTATTTTAATTTGTTGATTTGATAATTAAAAGTAGAATCAATCCCACTTATGTGAGGGTTGGAATTAATGTTCATTCCACTTTGATACTTCAATTTCTATTTATTTTGTAACTTTGAATCATCTCCGAATGTAAGAAGCAAAAGAATCATGTTTGTTTATCTCCCTCTATGCAACAAAATCTTTAATATCAACTATGAGGAAGGAATACAGTGTGCATAGGATGCACGTGGGTAATTTATAGGTAAAAGACGTTAATGATGTAAGATTAATATGCGTCAAGGCATAAGTTCAAATATTCATGGGCGAAGGTCGTGCCTTATGCAGATTCGGCTCATGTGTCAATGTCTTCATTTTCAACTCCTAGTCATGACTTTTTTTTTCTCTAAAAAAAATAGGTATTATTAGACAAATTTTGCACTTATTAGGAACGTATAATTAACGTACAGGAATACGTTAATTACTCTTAACCTACCTCTCAACCAAAAAACCAAAGTCTTAACATATCCCATTAAAACAAGCCAATATAATTAATATATGTTATGAAATATTTCATTGAATGTCTACAATTAATATATGTTATTCTATTTACAATCAGATAGATATGATTCTGTAATATTTAACATTAATAATAAGTGATTTATTTTTCACAGTTTAATACCTTACTTTTTGTATAAATAGAGATTCATTCATACTTCAAAAGAGATGACAATACAAGTCCCTCATTTCTCTCTACTCTCTTATCTTCTGTCTCCTGTTTTTATACTTAGTTCATATAGTAATTTATCATTAATTTTATAACACGTTATCAGCACGAGTCTCTAACCAATTCAGAGAGTTTTAAGGTTTGATGCCGCCATGACCACCGGTGCAATCAACCGGATATGGTACGATTTTACTTTGACAGTAAACTACAATCTTGCCCGCCAAATCACGGGGTCCATGAAGTCCAGGTTTTTTTGATTTTTTAATATACATCAATTTTAGTATGGTTAACTACACGCTTTTGAAGTTCTTTTATGGTTTACTTTTATATATATCAAATTACTCCCTAATTTCGTTGGGACAAAGCACTATTAGATCTCGAGAAGTATAATATGTTTTGGTTGGCAACTGTCTGTGTTATCAAATTTGGCACGTTGTGTGTTTTTATGATTTGGCACGTTGTGGTTTGCTCCTTTTTTTTTGTTTTTGTTTTTGGTGAAAGGTTAATGAAACATCGGAATCCTCTCAGAGACAACAATTGATTTTTGTGCAACTAATTGATGTTATTTACTTTCGGGAAAAGTAAAAAAAAAAAAATGATGATGGATCAATTTTATGTTTCGCGGACATGCATGTTTTTCCTTCAGTTTTTAAATTGCGTTTTAACTAATTATGTAATTTGTTAATATTGATCTTGAAGAACAAACTCATAAAGCGTAGACACAACAAATTTTTCTTATACTATTATGTAGTTGATTTTGTGGAAATTTTTCATCAGTTTGCATGTACTTTTGCAGATTCATGATTACATAATTCACTCAGAAATAGTCGACCGATTTGGGGTTGATTAAATGTAGACAGCAATCTTTTGCCATAAAATTTTTATTATCACACTGTATTGCTATGGCTCGAAGGATTTACACGTTTGTTAAAGTGCATGCCTTAGTTTCTTAATTGATTTACATGCCTAACTTGGTGTGGCTGCCACGTTTTGTCAAGGCTTGGAAGTTATTAAGATCTATAAATTCATCATGCTCAGGGAATCCATTAACTTATTAAGGGTTATAAGTTTTAAAATTTTCCTTGAACTATAAGCATGTTCCATCATGGTATGACCGCATTCAAAGTACACAGCATATCTATAATCTTGATTAATGTTCATGAAAAAAATCAGAAGAAAGTTCTTTTGAACCTTGATGAATAATACAACTGGTGAATTAATTGTTTATAACCTAAAATTAAAGCAACATACGGTAAATTCCGACAATTTGGAATATGCGAATATGGTATACTAGAGTGCCGATCCTGAGAGATTATTAGCAGCTAACTCTATAAATTTGATCTCTTAACCGTTGGACGTTTACTGGTTTGATGATATTACATCACTTACTATTACAAAAGTATGCGGGTGGAAGAAAGAACTAGGTTTGGTGACAGTTGGGTTTTTCAATCAAGTAAGTTGCCCTACTAAAAGTGCAGGCTTTAATCATTGTCTAAATTGATCTACTCTTCTAACTTTTTGCATAAGAAGATCACCTCCCATTTTATTTGAATTACTAGCATTATTATTATTATAACCACGGTTTGTTATTTACTGTGATCGGAGGAATTATTATGCTAGTCAGTGGGTATGTTACTTGATCTAATATAATCAAACCAATCCACAATTGTTTGTTCCGTTTGATTTTTGGGTTTTGGTTATTTTGAGGTGTCTGAAATTGATATTGTTATATCTACTCCAAAACTAATTTGCCTTGTTTATTTGGGACTTGCAAACATAACAAATGTGCTAGTTTGAAACATTGTTTTGATCGTTGAAGCTAAATAATTACTCCTGAAGTAACGATTATTGAGTAGCAATTTCTTCTTATCTTAATAATTATACAATATGTTTCATATCTCGATGCAGATATGATAACAGTTTAGTTGAGCAATAAACAAATATGCTCAAGACCATGTCGCAACTATAGTGCACGTTCAGTGACCAAAAATACTAATTCATTAATGCTCCTGTAGAGCATGCATATAAACTCCATAAAATTGGACAAAAACTCCTGAACAGAATTCGCAGTGGAAAAGTATAACAGTTTAAATGTTCTATAACTAAAAACGGGGCATATGTAATTAAATTCTTCGATGAAATATGTCGTCGAGCATCAATCACTGATTATCTCCGTAAAATTATATGTGTGCTTCATAATAGCAAGAGTACTCTTGTAGAATGAATGAAATAACAAATACTCGAGAAAAGTATATATGCTATGTCAGCGTAAATGCTCCCGTGAATGAAATTGATTCAACACATTGCAAATAAGTTCATTATTTTCTTCAAAAGAGAACTTATAAATTTGGCTCTAAAGGAGTGCACGAATATGCCAGAGCAAATCCAATTTTGCCATGATATCAAAAGATATTTGGAAAAATATTTTTTGAAGATTAGTATGATTGAGTTTAATTGTACAAGTTGTTGCATAAGATGCAATGGTTATTGTCTCAAATATACGGGAAATGTACTCACTATTTAAAAGTGCGGGGTGCAAAAAAAAAAAAAAGAGATATCCGAACAACATTTCTTCTCACAGGAATTTTAATCTGATGATCCTGGTTAATGTATGTCTCAGTACCAGAATGAGAATAGTTGATTGATGATAGGGTCGATATTAGTATGATATTTATAGTTGTTTATGTGTTATTTTAAATAGTATCTACGCTAATATGTGCCTTTTGTGTTTAATTTTATCATAGAAATGATTTGGGACAAAAAGAATAAAACTGTTGATTTTGAAAAGTTTTTAATGATTTTATTGAATCAAATTTTAAGTTGGAAAAGAAGTGGTTGATTCTCACGTGGGCACACAGAATTCAGGCCAAAATCAAAAGATAAAGCAGGAATTTCCAAAAAGGAGAATGTGTTCTGGCGTGGGCGCGCGAAAGTAGGGATTAAAATGAAAAATTTCCAAAGTTTTGGAATCAGATTGTAATATTTGCAAACTTTAGTGACTAATCTGAAAATTATGGAAAATTTAATGTTTTGCTGCGAATCTGAAAAGGCTGGACGTGCGGCTGCTTTAGGTTTTAATATAAATAGTCTTGTTCTTATTATTTTTGGGGAGTTAGATCGTAGGAGGCATAGGGAGGCTCTGAGTCTCTTGTTTCAAGTTGTCTCTCTATTTTCTCCTGGACTAGCTCTGTAACAATCAATCGTGTACTTTTTTGCTATTGATCTTAGTAAGATTAGTAGTTAAATCACTTTTCTAGTTGAAGGATTTTATTGAAGCCTTGATATTATTCAATTATGAGATCTAATTATTTTCTATTCACCAACATGTTTTGAGTATTTATTTATTCTCTTTGATGTATATTGAAGATTATTTAGCATTATTGAATAGCCGGTAGCATTTAGTTTTTCTAGATAATCTAATTTACTGAACAACAAGGTTTGTTTGTTCCTTAGAAGAGACAATACAAGTGATTGCTTGGTAAGTATTTATTTTGTATTGTGAGAATAAATAATCAATTTTTAATGAAACAAGGTTTGTTTGTTAAAAATTGAATACGGTCTTTGCTTGTCAAAAACTAATTCGTAGGAGGTTCCAGGTAGTGTTTTTGGTTATAAAGTGGTTAATGAATGTTTCTTAATCACCGGTCATGAATTAAAATGACTAAATTGTTAGGAGGTTCCAACAACGATAAGCAATATATTCATAGTTTGTTGAGTTAATCATTTCATTAAGGATCAATTGGATATATCAATGTGAAAATTATTCCTTTGACTAGAGTTTCTCTTATTATTGATTTTCGGAAAACTATCTTTTATTGTTCGCCAGTTATTTTTGTCATCCATTAGTTATAAATCCAAAAAATTCTCCCATTTGATTACTTTGCATTTAATTAGTGATATTTTCACTTTTTTGTTCCCTGAGGAGACGACTATACTCATTGCTCAACTACCAAATCTGTTAGGAGTAGGTTATATTTATTTTTGTTGGTTTGACACCTATCAAATTTTGGTACCGTTGCCAGGGAGCACGGTGAA